CTGCTCAGCGCGGAGAGCGCGCTGTACACCTGCAGCCTGGTCATGCCGTGCCTGGCGCTGCTGGCGGAGGTGGCGCCCCTGGCGCTTCGCGCGGGGGCGCCCGCGGTCGCGGAGGCGGTGATGGTCTCGGCGCACCGCGTGAGTTGCAGCCTTCTGGGGGAGCAGGCGGCCTCCGCGAACACGCTGCGGGACTCGGACAAGCTGCTGCAGTCCTTGGGCCCTGTGCTCCGCGAGGTGAAGGACCACCTGGAGCCCTCAGCGCTGCAGCTGCTCCAGTCGCTGCAGCCGTGCGCCGTGTCTGGGGCCCCCTACGTGGTGCGCGAGAGGCGTGCGGCTGGTGCCGCGGTCGCCAAGCCCACGAGGGGCTACCCGCTCTCGGAGACGGAGCGCTCCGAGGCCGAGGCCTGTGCGGGCACGCCCTCGCGCCGGCGGACTGGCACGGGCGCCGTGGAAGACGCGTACACCGTGCAGCAGTCGCTGGCGGCGCAGTGCCGCACCGCGGCGCTGCGCAACTTCGCGCAGCTCTTCAAGCTCTTCCCCAAGGCGTTCTTTGGGCGGTGGCCGCTGGTGCTCGACTTTCAGTCTGGCGAGGCCTCGCGGGCCGGCGAGGACGGCGCTGCGCCGCTGCCGATCCTGTTGACGATCTGCAGGGAGGACCCTTGGCAGAAGGTGCGCGGCGCCGCGCTCGGCGCGGTGTGCGCGCTGCTCGAGGCGCCAGCGGTGCGGACCTGGCCGGTGCCGCTCGAGCGGGAGGAGTGCGGCGAGGCCGTGTCGCCCAGGCGCGGCGGCGCGCGCGCGAGCGGCGGCAGGGGCCGGGGGGCCTCCTCGTTCACGCCGCTGGCGGGGCAGATGGCCACGACCCTGCGGCAGGCGCACGGGGTCGTCCTCGGGCTCCTGGGGGGCCGCGCCTCCGGAGACGCCCAGCTGGCTCTGCGGGCGTGTGCGGACCTGGTGACGTGCACCCCGTACCCGAAGCTCCGCCCGGGGCTGCTGACGGAGATGGTGCGCGGCGTGGTGCCCTTCCTCGAGGTTCTGTCCACGTCGGCCACGCCCGAGGGGGGCCAGCAGCCCCTGACCGCCGCCCTCGCGGCGCTGGGCGCGGCGCTGAAGCGCGAGGACTGCGCGGCGGAGCTGCAGCGTTGCCTCTTCGAGGTGCCGGACAAGGTGCTGCTCCTGGCGCCCTTGCCGCCGCCGTCGCCCTCGGGCGCGGCCAGTTGGCGCTCGCACCAGGGCGCCGCCTGCAGGGTCCCGCGCCCGCTGGCGGAGGAGCTCGCCGCCCACGCCGTGCGCCTTGTGCAGCTGGCACAGCGGCGTCGGCGCGTCTCGGAGGCCGACGCCCCCGTGGCGCTCGAGCTGGCATCGCTCGCTGGCCGCGCGGCGCACTTCAGCCCCGAGGTGATCCCCGTGACCGTGCAGGAGAAGCTGCAGGCGCTCGTGGAGAGCCTGCTGGCGCTCTCCTCCGGGCCGCTGCGCGCGAGGGCCTGCAAGCTGGTGGAGGAGCTGCTGGTTCTGCCCAAGGATGGCACTCTTCAGCCCGGCGAGCGCGTCGCAGTGAGGCTGCCCATGGAGTGGTGCGCCGCCATCGCCCACAGGATGATGACGCTCCCGGAGGACGCCGCGCCCAACGTGCGAGCCGCAACGCTGGCGGCACTGCCGCCCCTGCTGTGGGCCTCGGGCGCAGACGGCGCCGGCCCAGCCGCCGATGCGCTGTCGGACCACTCGCTCGCGGCGGTGCGGCTCGGCGCGGGGGACGTGGGCGCCGCGGTGCGCACGGCAGCGGCCCAGGCGTGCGGATCGCTGGCCGGGTGGTGGCTCATGCAGCCCACCCGGCCGTGGGAGAAGAGCGCCGACGTCTTGGCGCTGCTGGTGAGGCTGCTCTCCGACCCGGCCGCGGACGTGAGGTCCGCTGCCGCGGCCGCGCTGGCCAACATGGCGGTCGCCGCCGTGCAGGGCGCCACGGGCGCTCACGGTGCCCTGGAGTCTGGCGGCACGGGCTCGTCCGGGTGCCCCGCTGCGACTGCGGCCGAGAGCTTGTGGGTGGAGGCCATCGAGGGTACGCTGCTGCTCTGCCAGGACAGCTCGGACAAGGCGCGTTCCTCTGCTCTCCGAGCGCTGGGCTACATTGCGGAGGCCGTGGACCTGCGCGGTGCGCGGCCGCCGCAGAAGCAGGACTCCCTGCTAAGCCGTCTGGCGGGCGGGCTCGCGGGCTCGGTCGGCGCGCCTCCGCCGAAGTGCCAGTGGAACGCTTGCAGATCCATGGGCCAGGTGTACCAGTGCTCGAGCTTCCTGGGCGCCCTCGAGTTCTCGCCCTCGAGCCACGCGACCATGCTGGAGGCACTGTGCAGGAGCGTTTCTTCCGCGACCAACCTGAAGGTCCGCATCCAAGCCGCCCAGGCGCTGGCGCAGCTGCCGCCCGCCACGCGCCTGTGGTCGCAGGGCGACGCGGACGCCGTGCTCGCCTGCTTGTGCGAGGCGTTGGCCTCGCTGGACCGGCCCGTCGGCGAGCAGCCCGTGGAGGAGCGGCAGCGCGCGCAGTACGCCTCGCAGCTGCGCGCAGAGCTGCGCGGCCTGGGCGAGCACTGGGCCGCGTGCGCGCCCGCGGGCGCGCCCGGGCCCGCCGCGCTCGCGGCGGCCGAGGCCGCCGCGCCGGCGCTGGCCGCGCTGCTCGCCGCCGAGGAGGCGCCGGCCCTCGCCGCCGAAGCCGCCGCGGCGGCGGGCGCGGAGGCGCCCGCGGGCGAGGCTGCGGCGGCGAGCGAGCCGCGCGGCCGCGGTGGGCTGCAGGCCCGGCTGTCGGCGCTGCTCGGCGAGCTGCGGGCTGGGGCGGGGCAGCGGTGCGGGCCTCGGCAGGGCGGCGGCGAGTGACCGCCGCCGGGGGGGCGCGGCCGCGCGGGCTGCCGTGGTCGGGGCCTCGCGGGGGCTGCTCGTCGCCACGGCTGGGCTCCCGTCGAGGGTCTGCCCGGGGTGCACTCTCTGGACCCCGCTCGTTTGCTGGGCGGCCTGCGCCCCGCGCCGCGGCGCGAGCAGCGACTGCCCAGGCATCTGCGCCCCACGTCGAGAAAATGCCGCCCGGCGCCGCTCCCGAGCGCGCTTTTTGGCGATGCTGCCCTCGGGTGGCCGGATCCCAGAGGGCCCCGAAAGAGAGCAGAAGAGAGCCCCAGGGCGGGCCCAGCACGGGCCCGCAGGACCACCTTCGGGTATGTTGGAAGATGGGCATGTCCAACCGCAGCTTCTGGCCCGCTGGAAAAGGTAAGCGGGGAACCCAAACGCGCCCGTGAGTTGGGGGCTTGGGGCCTTGAAGAGGATTGTGTTATTCAACTCATTGGGGGCTACTGGGGAGCCATGGATTGGATTACGCCCCACACCCAAGAGGCCTGAGCATGCTTGCGAAGCTAAGGAGTATGGGCGTCGCTCCGTCGGGTGAAGAACCGCTGCATGCTGGTTGATGTTTATTCACGCCATGTTGTGCCAACGTCGTAGCTCGCATGGTTTTTATGTGAAATAGCTGCTACCGCATCTTCGATGAGTAGGACGAGCTATTGAAGCGTGTAACTGAGCAAGCCTGGAAAGGGTTGTCAGGATGCCGCAGGACGAACAGCAGCTAACAACACACATTGTCAGATAGGCTGCCACGCTGCCACTTGGATACTCAGCACCGCCCGCCGCAGCATGCGGTCACCCTCTCTCTTCCCACTGTCTCCCTCTGGGCTTGTGCGGGCGCCAATCCTGACTGCAAGGGCGGTGATGTCAAATATGTTGCAGGAATGTGCGAAGTATGGTTTTCTGAAAGATTGCGCTTTCATTGGCCAGCCACATCTTACTGATAGAAAGCGTCGCGATGTATGAATATGATTTGGGCCAACCAGCGCGAAGCGGAAACATGCGTCCGCGACCTTGTGATGAGTCTTAGAGTACCGTCACATCAGCCCCCCCTTCCTCCGTTCTTCCCTCCTCCCCTCCTGTCCCTCCCTCCTTGCCCCCCCCCGTCCTCGTCTGGCCTCCTCCTTTTCCTCATCCTCATCCTCATCCTCTTCGCCCATCCTCCTGTTGCTCCCCGCCTCATCCTCATCTGCGTCTCCTTGCCCCACCCTCTCTCCTTGCCCCCCATCTTCCTCGCCTTCCCCTTTCCTCCTCCGCTTCTCTCTCCTCGCTCTCCCGTCCCTCTCCCATCCCTCCTCCATCCTCGTCCTCCTCGAAGGCGAACCCTGGGCGTGCTCTGAGGTGCGCTCTAACCAGAATGTCAAGATGATCCCAGCCTTGGTGGCGAACAGCCCCCCAGAGGCCAAAAGCCAGCCAAAAGCCTCCGAAGCTCGAAGTTCGACGGGTGAATCCTCCTCCTCCTCCTCCTCCTCCTCCTCCTCCTCCTCCTCCTCCTCCTCCTCCTCCTCCTCGCCGCGTCCGGCCTGAGCTGCGCAGGGTGGAGGCCCACCCCTGGCCGCCGCCGCCTCTGGCCGCGGCCGCCTGCTGCCGCCGCTCTCCCCACGGACCCAGACCCCCGACGTCCTATGTGTTTCGTAACGTGGTTCCCCCGAGGTCTGGACCTCCTCCTCCTCATGCTCCTCCTCCTCCTCCTCCTCCTCCTCCTCCTCCTCCTCCTCCTCCTCCCTCCTGCTCCTGCTCCTGCTTCCTCCTCCTCCTCTTCCTCCTCCTCCTCCTCCTCCTCCTCCTCCTCCTCCTCCTCCTTCCTCCTCCTCCTCCTCCTCCTCCTCCTCCTCCTCCTCCTCCTCCTCCTCCTCCTCCTCTCCTCCTCCTCCTCCTCCTCCTCCTCCTCCTCCTCCTCCTCCTCCTCCTCCTCCTCCTCCTCCTCCTCCTCCTCCTCCTCTCCTCCTTCCCCCGAAGCCAGCTATTCCTCCTGCGCCCTGTGCCCTGCGAGGGCACCGTGAAACACCGTTTTAAGTCGTGATTGCAGATCACCCGCAGGGGGTCTGGGGATGTTGCTTTGCGTCCCGACGTCGTCGGTCGCCCTCGGAGCCGTTCGCTCCCCGCCGCGCTCTCGCGCGAAGGTTCTCTGCCCCAGCGGGCGAGGCCATAGCAGGGCCGCTCGCGGCACACGGCGACCACGCGCCCGGCAGCCACACGAGGAGCCACCTGCGGCGCGGCCTCGCGGGAGGCGGAGGAGGGGCAGCAGGGAGGAGTGGCACGAGGGATCAGGAGGAGGAAGAGGAGGAGGAGGAAGGAGGAGGAGGAGGAGGAGGAGGAGGAGGGAGGGAGGAGGAGGGGCAGGAGGGAAGAGGAGGGGCAGGAGCGAGGAGGAGGGGAGGCGGAGGAGAAGGCGGAAGAGCCTGAAGAGCCAGATGAGGCGGAGGAGGCGGAGGAGCAGGAGGAGCAGCAGGAGGAGGGGGAGGGGACGAGGAGGAGGAGGAGGAGGGTGGAGGGAGGAGGCTGGAGGGGGGGAGTAGAAAGTGGAGGGACGAAGAGGAAGAGGAGGAGGAGGAGGAGGAGGAGGAGGAGGAGGAGGAGGAGGAGGAGGAGGAGGAGGAGGAGAGAGCAGGAGGGGAGGAGGAACCCGAAGGCCAGGAGAGTGATGCGGGGGAGGCGAAGGCGGAGGCGGACGGGCGTGGGCGGCGGCGGCGGCGGCGGCGGCGGCTGCGACGACGACGACGACGACGACGACGACGACGACGACGACGACAATGACGACGACGAGGGCAAGCCGACGGATGGCGACGGCGTTGGCGGCGGCGGGCGGCGGGCTCCCGCGGGCCCGAGGAGCTCCAGCGTGCCCACCTGCAGCAGGGCACCGGAGCCGCAGCGCCGCATGGGGGACATCAACGGCTTGCTGCAGCGGGGATGGGAGCGGCCGGAGGAGGCGCCGCACGGCGGCGTCGCGGCCGCGGCCACGGCCGTCTGGCGGACGGCGGCGAAGGGCGGCGGCGGCGAAGGCGAAGGCGGTGGCGGCGACAGCGAGGAGGACGATGGAAGGTGCAGGGAGGAGGAGGAGGAGGAGGAGGAGGAGGAGGAGGAGGAGGAGGAGGAGGAGGAGGAGGAGGACCAGTGCAAACCCAAGACGCGTCAACGATGTTGCAATAAGCCGTTCCTCTACGGTCCTTCTTCATACGCCCCTACAAGAATTAATCGAAGGAGCCTGCGGCGAGTCACCGCCGCCCCCTGCCTTTTTGAAAGCGCCTATGTGGCCGAACGTTGAGGCCAGACCTGCCAAGCTATCGGACCATGTGTTCCCCGAATCGGTTTGGAAAGCCTTCGGGGAACACATGGGCATGGGCATCTTGAAGGTCATCTTGGCCGTTTGGAGGCCATTTTGACCTTTTCGGGCGGGGCCTTCGTGGAGGACGTCTTGGGGGGCTCTTGGGCCTCTTGGGCGATCTTTGGGGGCACTTGGGCCGTCTCGGGCAATCAGAAGGCCGAAAAAAAGCAAATGCCACAATCCTTCAAAAACCCATGGGAAATCAATGATTTTGGCGTTTTCGGGCCTTCCTGGAGGCCCTCTTGGAGGCCTCTTGAGCCATCTTAGGGGCCATCTTAGGGCCATCTTAGGGCCATCTTAGGGCCATCTTCGGTCGTCTTGGTGGGCTCCTGACGCCGTCGGAAGCCGTTTGGGGGGCCTCTCTGGGCCGACTTGGGGCCTTCTTGGAATGCTCCAGGGCTGTCTTGGAGACCCTCTTGGGCGTCTTAAAGGCCTCCCGTCTTGGGGGCATCTTGGGGACCTCTTGGGCCGTTCTGGGGCCATCTTGGAGGCCTCTTGGGCGATCTTCGGGCGATCTTTGAGAGCTCTTGGGCCTTCTCGGGCCGTCGGAAGGCCGAGAAGAAACAAATGTCAGAATCCTTCAAATACCTTAGGAACATCCGCGTTTTTGGCCTTTTCTGGTCTTCCTGGAGGCCCTCTTGGAGGCCTCTTGGGCCGGCTTGGGCCAGCTTCGAGCCAACTTCGGCCATCTTGGTGGGTTCCTGGCCGGTCTGACGCCGTCGGGAGCCGTCTTGGGGGCCTCTCTGAACCAGCTCTTGGGGAGCTTCGTGGCCGTCTTGGAGACCATCTCGGGCGCCTTGGAGGCCTCTTGGCCCGTCTTGGGGCCTCTTGGGGCCGTCTTGGGAGCCTCTTGGGCCGTCATGGCGCCATCTTGGAGGCCTCGTGGGCGATCTTGGGGCGATCTTGGGAGCTCTTGGGCCGTCTTGAGCCGTCGGAAGGCCGAAAAGAAGCAAATGCCAAAATCTTTCAAAACCCTACGGAAAATCAATGATTTTGGCATCTTCGGGTCCTCCTTGAGGACCTCTTGGAGGCCTCTTGGGTCGTCTTGGGCTGTCTTGGAGGCTTCTTGGGCGAACTTGGAGATATCTTGGACTCTCTTGGGCCGTCTTGGAGGCCGTCTTGGACCATCTTGGGCGGACTTGCAGGCCATCTTGGAGACCATCTTGGGCCAACGTTGCCAACTTGGAGGCCATCTTGAGCTGTCTTGGAGGATTTTTTTCCGGATTGAGGTCCTTTCCGGGTGGCCGGCGGGACGCGCCGGAGCCCCAGGGGGAGTTTTTTTGGAAACGAACCAACACCGAAAACGATAGGATTTGGCACGGCAGGCACCCGCGTGATGAATCAACAGGGGGCGGCGGATCGAAGACGCCTACGGCGAATCACCGCCGCCCCCTGCCTTTTTGGAAGCGCCTATGTGGCCGAACGTTGAGGCCAGATCTGCCAAGCTATCGGACCATGTGTTCCCCGGTTTGGAAAGCCTTCGGGGAACACGTGGGCATCTTGAAGGTCATCTTGGCCGTTTGGAGGCCATTTTGACCCTTTCAGGCCTTCTTGGAGAACGGCTTGGAGGGCTCTTGGGCCGTCTTGGAGGCCATCTTGAGCGTCTTGGAGACCTCTTGGGCCGTCTTTGGGGCCTCTTGGGGCCGTGTCTTGGGCCTCTTGGGCGATCTGTGGGGGCATTTGGGCCTTCTCGGGCCGTCGGAAGGCAGAAAAAAAGCAAATGCCACAATCCTTCAAAACCAATGGGAAATCAATGATTTTGGCCTTTTCGGGCCTTCCTGGAGGCCCTCTTGGAGGCCTCTTTCTTGGGCCATCTTAGGGCCATGTTCGGCCGTCTTGGCGGCTCCTGGTCCGTCTGACGCAGTCGGAAGCCGTTTGGGTGGCCTCTATGGGCCGACTTGGGGCCCTCTCGGAATGCTCCAGGGCCGTCTTGGAGGCCATCTTGGGCGTCTTGAAGGCCTCCTGTGCCGTCTTTGGGTCCTCTTGGGGCCGTCTTGGGGCCCTTACAGTGGGGACGCGCATCAAGAAACCATATGCTTTTCGTCTGGGTTTCCTGGCTTTCTTCGCTCCTCGCGCTGCGCGGTGGCTTTCCGCAGCCGTTGAAGGAGCTGCTGCGTTCAGGGTGCTCTGGGTTTCCCCTCAGGTGCACCTCGCGCGCGGGTTCTCAGGTTTGGGTCTTGATTTCTTGCGAGGGTTTCTTGCGGCCGCGCCAGCACTGTAGTTGTCAGCATATCTGAGCTTCGTGATCGACGAAGTCACGAGGGTGCACCAGCATCATTCCATCAACTTCCAACTGCTGCTTGACCAGAGGCACTTGCCGTGGGGTCTTGTGCAGGGAACCCGAGGCAATTGATGAGTCCATCCAGATGCCGAACTCCTTGAGAGACTCCAGCACTGCACGCCGTTGGCACCGGCCTGCCACACGCCAGGAAATTCGAACACATTCATCAAGAGGCTGCTCCTTGTCGGTGTGTGGCGCATGTTTCTGCACAGCTTGGCTCATCTTTGCCTTCTGGTCCCTCGGATGATGGACCAGGTCGGCGCAGCTGATGATGGACACCCTCTCCTGCAACAGCTCCTGGAGTAGCCGCTGCCATCGCCTCCAGGATGGGTCCTTCTGAGCTCTGAGAACAGCATGGGAGGAAGAAAGGGAGGAAGGAGGAGAGGGAGGAGGGGAAGGAGGAGGAGGAGAAGGAGGAGAAGGAGGACGAGGAGGAGGATGAGGAGGAGGAGGAGTAGGAGAAGGGAGGGGAGAGGAGGAGGAGGAGGAGGAGGAGGCAGCAGCAGGAGGAGGAGGAGGGGGGAGGAGGGAGGGAGGGAGGGGGAGGGAGGAGGAGGGAGGAGGAGGAGGAGGAGGGAGGAGGAGGAGGAGGAGGAGGAGGAGGGGGGGGAGGTGCAGGGTGGAGGTGGAGGAGGAGGTGCAGATGCAGCGAGGAGGAGGTCTACTCAAGTCAGATCTTGGCGTCGCCACGGCCGCTTGCCTGTGCTCTCGTCCGTGCTCGGGTCACGGGGCAGCGGTCGTGCCTCACCCTCTACTTGTATTTGGGCATGCCGCGTGTTGTCATATCCAGTGGGACGCAGCATCAACACCAGGTATGCGAGCACTGCCCTTCTGCGCAGTTAACCAGAGCCTCTACACCACACCCAGCCGGGTGGAGCAACGCCCGCGGTGCAAGCTGGAGGACTTCCGACCGCGTCGGGACAGTGTATCGTTTCGTTGTTGACGTCAGTGCAGTGCAGCGTTTCGTTGTTGACCGAGGAGGAGCAGGAGGAGGAGCAGTCTCAGGCCTGGTGCCCCTCCATTGCAGGCCTGACGGCGGGCGTCGCCGCCATTCGGCGGCCAGCCCAGGGGGGAGTGAGAGAGGGCGGGGCCTCTCGGAAGGCTCGGAAGTCCTCCAGCCTTCTGAGAAGTGCGCTCCGAGCCTCCACCGGGGACTCGGAACAATTCTCAGAAGGCCCCGGGGGGCTGCTGAGAAGCCCTGCCGCCTTCCGAGAGGGCCTCCTCCTTCTCACTTCTCCGCCCTCGGTCGCCGCCGAGCCATTCTCCCCGTCGTCGTCGCGGCCGCCGTCGCCGTCGCCGCCGCCGCCCTCGTCGCGGCCGTCGTCGCCGTTATCGCGTCCGCCTCGTCCTCGGTGGCGGCGGCGGCGGCGAGGCCCGCCGGGTGGCCCAGGTGCGGCGCATGCGCCAGGAGCTGAAGAGGCTGCAGCAGCAGGTGGACGCCGCCATGGACCGCAGGAGGGGCATCACCCCGGGCAGCTGCACGGGCGCCGCAGGCGCCCAGGGGGTCGTCGTCGTCGTCGTCGTCGTCGTCGTCGTCGTCGTCGTCGTCGTCGTCGTCGGGATGAAGCCTGGGTTGGGGCGCGCAGCTCTCCGCCAGGAGGCGGCGATGAGCCACGGCGGCGCTGGCGAGTGGAGTGCCCTGAGATCGGATCCTCAAGCGGTGGACGTGCAGTCCGCCCGCATGGTAAGGATGAGCAACTGTTCATGGCTACCCTTGCGTCCTTGCCCCTTCGGCCCATCCTCAGGGACTTTCGCTGACCAACCTTGCTCGAATAAACGTCAACACAGCCTTCCAAAGCACTCCCATCCATACCGCGCATTCTTATCATACGGATTGACTGTATATCGGGTATAGCCGGGACCCCAGGTAAGGGGACCCGGTTAGCAGTAGGCCCCCGGAGCCCCTCAATCGGCCAGAATCACTAAACCAGGTCTGCCGTGGCTGGTGTCTTTTCGGGTGACGGCAGTTCCGGTCAGTGGAACGGGGCGGGGGGGGGCGTCCCCCAGCACACATCACCAAACCAGGTCCCACTATGCCCAGTTCTGCCAACGCCCGAGTACGATGGAGGATCGAGGATCGATGGAGGACCGAGGACGATGGAGGATCGAGGACGACGAGGAGGATCGAGGATCGAGTTCTACCCACCCTCGGACGATGGAGGATCGAGGATCGATCGTGTGCCTTCGTGGATCGCTCGATCGACGATCGGCGTGCAAGGATCGTTCGGTCCATGATCGGCGACCGACGATCGCTGGCACGGTCGTCCTCGTGCGAGGATCGATCGATCGACGAGCGACGCTGGAGACAGTTTGGGGACCTGGCGTCGCATTCTCTTGTTCGCAGCTGATGGTTGTGCCCTGCGTCTGGCCCCCAGAAGCTCACGGATCGATCCGGCCGGATAGATACGGTAACTTCGTAATTTCGTGTCGTGTCGACCGGCGGCGACCCCGCCAGCGGCGTTCAACGTTGAACGACGCGGGCGACCCAGAATCGTTCGATGGGGAACGATTTGAACGTTGCGGAAACGGCCGATCGTTCAAGGTTGAACGATTCCCGCGGTGTCAGAATCCAACGCCGAAGTCGGCACGGCACCGACCTGACGTACCGCGGGAAGATGGTGTCTAGGGATCTTGCCGTTTTTTCCGATGTGAGGAGAGGATTTGTTCAATTGCTACGTGTGCCATGCGCTGCCAAGCTCGGTTAACATCTGGATCCGATCCTGGACGAGGAGGACGATGGAGGAGTAAGGAGGAAGGAGGACGAGGACGCGGACGAGGAGGACGAGGACGAGGAGGACGAGGACGAGGAGGACCACGAGGCCGAGGAGCGCACCGAGGAGCCAGGGAGCGAGCAGTCAGGGACGACGACGACGACGGCGACGGCAACAACGACGACGACGACAGTGACGGCGACGGCGATGGCGAAGGCGACGGCGACGGCGACGGCGACGGCGACGGCGACGACGGCGACGGCGACGGCGACGGCGACGGCGACGGCGACGACGACGACGACGGCGACGACGACGACGACGACGACGACGTCGACGACAGCGTTGGCGGCGGCGGCGACGGCGGCGGCGGCGGCGGCGCGCCAGGCACGCCGCGTGGCGGCGCGCGCGGCCTCACGCCGCGCGGGTGCGGCAGCCCGCCGCGCAGCCCGCGCGGGGGCGGCAGCCCGCCGCGGTGCAGCCCGCGCAGCCCGCGGGGGGGCGTCACGCCGCGCATGGTCGCCAGCCCGCGGGTCGCCGCGCAGAGCCCCCCGCGGGGCGCCGCCCCGCGCCGGGTCGGCAGCCCCTACGGCAGGGGCAGGGGCGGCGCGCCGGGGGCGGCCCGAAGCGCGGGGGGCGACGGCGACGGCGACGGCGACGGCGACGGCGACGGCGGCGACGACGGCGACGACGACGACGACGGCGACGGCGACGGCGATGACAGCGGCGACGACGGCGACGACGACGACGACGACGGCGACGGCGACGGCGACGGCGAGGGCGACGGCGACGGCGACGGCGACGGCGACGAGCAGGGGCGGCGCGCAGGGAGCGGCCCGAAGCGCGGGGGACGACGGCGACGGCCGACCTGAGCAGTCCCTGCAGCTTTTCCCTCGTTCTGGCCCGTGTTCGGGCTGCGAGGCAACGGCACACGGATCCGGGACAGAAAATTGCCCCCAGGGATGGGGGTGGAGACCCATGGTGGGCGCACGGATGGGGCAAACATCAATATGTCGGAAGTTTGGGGCCTACTGCCGGGGGGGATTTCGGATTTGAAGGGGACCCCACGGGACACGAGGCGAGGGGGGGCTATAGGGCAAGGATCGGAGGAGCAAGAAGTCAGGATAGCGATGCGCTCCAGGATTTCTTGGTTCCCTTGTCCCGTGTGGGCTCCAGAAACGAGGCCGCTGGGTGCCCTCGAGCTGCTGGAACGTACCCTGAGCCAGCCGCATCATCCTGCTCATGCTGCAGCTGCTCATGCTGCTTTTGCTCCTCCTCATCCTCCTCTCCTCTCCGCCTCTTCTTCTTCACCATCAGCAATATCATTACGTATAGTAATCATCGTCATCGTTACTGTCACCATCGCCATCATCAATTACAGCTCTATCCTGAGACTTGAAACTTGCAACGGTTTCACGGCTTGAGGGCGGGTGGTTGTCAGCATGTGGTTGTTACGTTAGCGCGCAGCACATGTGTTTTCAAAGCTTGCAAGCTTGCAAAAGTTTCACATATAGAGGGCGGCTCGTTTTCTGAATGCGATTCGCGCTTTAGTGAGAACACCTTCTTTTAAAAGCGTTTTCAAAATGCGGTTCTCGCTTTTAGCGCCGCGCATATCTGTCTTGATAGTTCGCAGCAGTGTTGAGGGCTCATGAGGTCGAAGTCCCAGGAATGGTGTTCCGAGGCGTTGTGGGATTATCAAGACGCAACAGTTACTTTGATTCGCTGAATTGAAGCCCCGGGAGTAGCGTTCTGTCTGCATTCAGGATTGTCAGGACGCAGCAGTCACGTTCATTCGCGGTGCTGAGGTCCCAGGAATTGTGCTTTGGCACGACTGCGGATTCTTCAACGGTTTTCTTTCAATGGGATACTCCCCGCAATGAAAATAGTTGTCTGCAGGGGTCGCTGAAGAAGGAAGCTGGAGGGAGGGCTCATGGCAACATCGTTGATGCGTCTTGGCTTTATACGGGTCCCTCCTCCTCCTCCTCCTCCTCCTCCTCCTCCTCCTCCTCCTCCTCCTCCCTCCTCACTCCTTCTCCCCCTTCCTCCTCGCAGCCCCCCTCCCCCCAAGCCCAGGCGCGCCGCGGGACGCCACGCCGCCGGCGGCCCTGCGCACCCCGCGAGCGGCGAGGTCGAGGCGAGCGGCGCGCGCGCGCGGGCGGGCGTCGCCGCCGTCGCCGCCGCCGCTGGCCTGCCTCCTCGCGTCGCGTCGAGGATCGCGGCGGGCGGTCCGCGGTCGCTTTCGGGAGTTCTCGTCGATTCTCGGCGCTTTGCCAGCCTCGGGATGCCCTCCAGCAGCTGCGATCAGCCGAGGGCACTCCGGAGGGTGGCGGGGGGCAGGGCCGTCCCGAACGGCCGCCGGAGGCCGAGAGTCGTGGCCCGTCGGCCTCGCCTCGCCGCCGTCGCGGTTGCCGTCGCCGTCGGCCCGCCGTCTCGCGTGGCGGCAAGAGTCGCGGCGGGAGGTTTGGCGGCCTCGGGCTGGCACGCCGCCTGTGCTCAGACTTCATCACGCAGTGCTCCGTGGAGTTGGAGGAGGAGGAGGAATGGAGGAATGGAGGAATGGAGGAATGGAGGGAGGAGGGGGGAGGAGGAGGAGGAGGAGGAGGAGGAGGAGGAGGAGGAGGAGGAGGAGGAGGAGGAGGAGGAGAGGAGGAGGAGGAGGAGGACGAGGAGAGGAGGAGGAGGCGGAGGAGGAGGGGAGGGAGGAGGGGGAGGAGGAGGGGGAGAAGAAGGAGGAGGAGGAGGAGGAGGAGGAGGAGGAGGAGGAGGGGGAGGAGTTGGAGGAGGAGAAGGAGGGGAAGGTATAAGTGGAGCGAGGAGGATGTGGAGGAGGGGTTGGATGAGGAGGAGTAACGCGCGCGCGTCGCCTGCGTGTGTGCGCGCACGGCGCAGAGTTCTCGCGCGCGCGCGTCCGTCGCCAGCGCAAGCGTGCGTCCCGCTACGTGTGCCCTCGTGCCCAGGCCGCGGCGTGCGCGCGCGGGCGGCCCGCGGGGTTCTCTCTCTTTCTCGCGCGCGCGTCAGTCGCCAGCGCGCTCGTGTTCGCGTGCGCGCGCGGGCGGGCGTGCCGCTGCGAGGGGGCACTTGCGGATGCCCGCGTGCGCGCGAGGGGGCGGCCTCGGGCGGGCAGGCGGCCCTCCTTGAAATCCCCGTCCTGGGCGCAAAAGCACCATGAAGGTCTGGGTCGGCCCAGATCGGTGGGGTTCGGAGGTTTTCGATCGTTTTCGTATTTGTTCCGGCGATCCTCTACGGCTTTCCAGCTTCGGGCTGCCTTCCAGCGGCTGCGCCTCGCGGAGGCGTTCTCGGCGTGCCCGCACGGCCCCGAGCGGCCGCAGGTGGCCCCAGTCGTGCCCCGAGGACCACCTCCTCGCGTCGCGGAGCAGTCGCGCCGCGAGGCTTTGGGACCGCCTTCGGCCTCCGGGGGCCTTCGCTGGGCTCCGGGACCGTCAGGAAGCCACGACATATACCGGTCCCGATGGTGTGGTCCAGACCTTCGGGCGTCCACGCTGCTGCGACGAAGATCACTACGTCGGAGGTCTGGGCTGGCCCAGGCCAGTGGGGCTCGGAGGTCTGCGGAAGTCTGCGGAAGTCTGTGGTCTCCTTCGGCTGCGCCTCGTCGAGGACGTTCCAGGGATGCCGGGATCGCTCCAGAGGCCCGCCTGAGTGAGGCCCGAGCTGAGTATGGTTCGAAACTAACGTAGGCGCGCAGGCGTCGCCATAGGGCAAGCACAGGCTTCCTTATGGGGCGCTCCACGGAGGGCCTCGCCGTCGAGGGTCGAAGGAGCTGGCATCTCTTCCCCGGCGGAATGTCGGAAGAAGGCGGCGACGGTAACACGAGGGCGCAGTCGCCATCATCGTCGTCCGTCGCCATAGTCGTGGTCGTTGCCCGTCGTCCGTCGTGCGCTGTCCGTCGTCCGTCGTGCGTCGTGTGCGCGCGCCGTAATGCATCGTCGTGCGTCGTCCTGCATCTTTGTCGTCGTCCTTCCGTCCTTGTCGTCGTTGTCCGTCCTCGTCGTCCTCGTCCTCGTCGTCCTCGTCGTCCTCGTCGTCGTCGTCGTCGTCGTCGTCGTCGTCGTCGTCGTAGCCGCTTCCGGGTGGCGCCGTCGACGGCCCGCCCAGGTCTCCAGCCGCGCCCGCGTCCGCTAGGGGGTCCGTGCCAGGCGCTGGGCCGCCCCCGCCCTCCGTCCGCGTGCGCCCTTGGGGAGGAGGGAGGGTGATGATGATGATGATGATGATGATGATGATGATGATGATGATGATGATGATGATGAGGAGGAGGAGGAGGAGGAGGAGGAGGAGGAGGAGAGGAGAGGAGGAGGAGGAGGAGGAGGAGGAGGAGGGGAGGAGGGGGAGGAGGAGGAGGGAGGAGGAGGAGGAGGGGAGGAGGGGGAGGAGGAGGAGGAGGAGGAGGAGGAGGGGAGGGGAGGAGGAGGAGGAGGAGGAGGAGGAGGAGGAGGAGGAGGAGGAGGAGGAGGAGGAGGAGGAGGAGGAGGGAGGAGGAGGAGGGGGAGGAGGAGGAGGAGGAGGGAGGAGGAGGAGGAGGAGGAGGAGGAGGAGGAGGAGGAGGAGGAGGGGGAGGAGGAGGAGGAGGAGGAGGAGGAGGCCCCGCCTGATCGTCGTCATCATCATCCCTCACCACCACCACCACCACCACCACCACCATCATCATCATCATCATCATCATCATCATCATCATCATCATCATCATCATCATCATCATCATCATCATCATCATCCGTGGACCCAGGACGTCTTCTTCAAGAAATGCGAAAACGTCTTGGGTCCACGAGCCCTGTGAGTGTTCCAAATGAAAGCAAAAAGCAGTAACACCTGTGAGGGTTTCAAAAAAAATCAAATGGTTTTCGGTAGTTCGGACTTCCTCCGGGCCTCTCCAGGCCAGATCCGCCCAGACAGCCTGACGTCCCGAAAGCCATTGATCCGTGGTTTTTTGGTGGACCCTTTTTTGTTTTTTTGTATTGCTTTGTTTCTTTGGAACCCTCACAGGGTTCGTGGACCCAAGACGTTTTCTTATTGTTTTTAAGTGTCTGGCTTTCTTATGGTTTTTGAGTGTATGGATGTATTGTTGTTTTTGATTGTATGGGCTTCCCATTGGTTTTGATCGTATGGGCTTCGGCTTATTTTTGTGTGTGTGTGTGTGTGTGAATTTCGTATTGGTTTGAATGTATGGCTTTCTTATTGCTTTTTATTGTACAGATGTCTTATTGTATTTGGTTGCGCGGAGGAGAGGGGAGATGAGGAGTACGAAGATGAAGACGAGATGATGCCGATGATGATGTTGATGATGATGATGATGATGATGATGATGATGATGATGATGATGATGATGATGATGATGATGATGATGATGATGATGATGATGATGCGGATAGTCGTAGACCTCACCCTTACACACAAGCCACCCACCTACACAAATATACCACGTGGGTGGAGGAGGAGGAATGAGCACGGTGAGCTGCTCTAGTTGATCTTTTTAGACACGTGCGATGACCTGTGGGAGCGCGGTAAGAACTCGAGAGAGGCTATGTTGAGGGAGCTGTTGTCCATGGACCCGCAGGAGCTGGAACGCAAGCGCGCCGCCCCCCGCTTACAGTTATCAGGGGATGGCGCACCCGCATCTTCCTCTACCCTCGGCTTCGGAAGAACTTCGAGGAGGTGGTCGCCGTTGCTTCGTCGTTGGGTGTGGCCGGAGATTCAGACTCCGCACCCCCGTGCCCTATAACGTCTTTCCATCCCGCCCACGTGAGGCCCGTATTTCCTGATGACGATCGCGGCGACGTTTCTTCTTTCTACGGCGTCCTCCTGGCATATACCAACCAGCTACCTGTCCAAGAACACTACCTCGAGGAGCTGTTCTTTGACTATTCGGCTTCTGATGCTGGCACAGATCGTACTCATCGAAGTCATGCTGATCAAGATAGGAAACAGGAGAACATACATTACCATTGGCGGGCTGTTTTTCCAATCCCAATGCTGTTTGACATCGGGGACAACATCGGGGTGGTGTAGTGTATACTTGTTTCGCCGTTTTCCTGGGGAAACAGCGAAAACATGTATACAGCAGGATCCCGCATGCACCAGGATCCGCTTTCCTGTGCAAGTTTCAGTGCAGGGCCAGAAAAGTCGTCGGTACACGTAGCACCCCGCAGATGCGGGTAAGAGTGATGGGGGCAGTGGGGACGTCGGCCGTTTGCGAGGCTCTCGAGAAGCCCGCCGCATGCGCAGCTCGTTTCCTTAACGAGAGTTGCAGTCTCGTCATGGCGAGCCCCCTCCTCCTCCTCCTCCTCCTCCTTCTCCTCCTCCTCCCCCTCCTCCGTCCTTTGCCCCCTTCTTCCTGCCCTGATGGCTACGATGGTTTCGTCCACGACGTCGCCGACCACCGCAACTGCTACCACGACGCGAGCCTGAGTGGCTCGACCCGCTGCGCGCGCGCTGCCCGCTGGCGCGGCTAGTCGGGGAGACTCCTTCTCTTCCACGCTGGGCTCCTCGTCTTCCGCGTTTCCTCCTCGCTTCCCCTCCAAGTCCTCAGGGTCCTCGTCCTCGTCCTCCCCTGGCTCCTCCAGCTTTTCCTCCTGCTCGCCCCCCTCCGACTCGTCCTCCACCTGGTCGGCCTCCTCGCCCCCACTCCCCCCCGACGACGACGACGAGGACGGCGACGACGGCTGCTACGACGCCGCGCGCACGCCGCCGACGCCGACGACGCCGACGACGCCGACGACGCCGACGACGCCGACGCCGACGCCGCCCGTCGCGGCAAGGCCCGTGGGCGAAGGCGGCCTCGCCGGCAGCGCCGCCGCGGCCCGAGGCGGCGGGCGGGCCCGCGCCGCCGCCGCGGCACGGCCGCTCGTCGCCGTCGTGGCCGCCGCGGTCGTTGCCGCCGCCGCGTGCGCAGGCGGCGCCGCTGCGGCGTCGCCGTCGTCGTCGCCCTCGCCGTCGTCGCCAACGCCGCAGCCGCTGTCTGATGGGCCTGTTTTCCACCACCACCACCACCACAAGTGGGAGGAGGGAGGGTGTCCTCCTCCCCCTAGATTATCTTCGTCCTCCTCCTCATCCTCCACCTCCTTCCCCCCTCCAACTTCTGGTGGTGGTGGTGGGGGAAAACAGGCCCGTCACTGTCGTTCCCGCCGCCGCCCTCGTCGCCCTTGCGATCGTGGTCCGTCGTCGCCGCCGCGCGGCGGGCGCTGGCGTACCTGCGGCGATCCCAAGATCTGGCTGGCTATGGAGAGGGAGCCGGGCGGGACTAGGACCAGGGATGACTCGTTCCAGAGCGCTCGCAGAGCATTCCAGAGAGATCCTCGATTGCGAAGGCCTGACGGCCGGCGCCGTCGACTTTGAAATAGGACGACGACGACGACGATGACGATGACGGCGGCGGCGGCGACGACGACGACGACCACGACGACGACGACGACGACCACGACGACGGCGCACGCCCTGGGCTTCCAGGGGGTTCGGTGCCTCGGATTTGGGAGTCTATTGTTTCTGGGAGGCGCAGAATTTATGATTTATGTAAATATCGCCAGGGGAATCTCTATACATCTATTATTTACCATATATTCATAGATTCATGAATAAGTGAATACGTGATTGTTTTGTGTGTATATACACGGAGTTGTATGCAAATGTATGTCTGTCTGTCTGTCTGTCTGTCTGTCTGTCTGTCTGTCTGTCTGTCTGTCTGTCTGTCTGTCTGTCTGTCTGTCTGTCTGTCTGTCTGTCTGTCTGTATGTGTGTATGCATGTATGTATGTATGTATGTATGTATGTATGTATGTATGTACGTGCGTACGTACGTATGTATGTTTGTATGTATGTATGTATTTATGTATGTATTGAGAGAGAGAGAGAGAGCGCGAGAAACAAATCATGAGATCAAGGGAATCAGCCAACTCACAACGCATTGAGCATTATGTATGGGCAGAGCAGAAAGAGAGAGAGAGAGAGAGAGAGAAAGAGAGAGAGATAGAGATGGCATTGTGGTCGCAAGGCGTCCCGGTGAGGGTCGGGAGGACTCAATATCTCGATATCTCGATATCGAGGGCGGGGACTCGATATCTCGATATCGGGGGGCGGGGACTCGATATCTCGCTATCTCGATATCGAGGGCGGGGGCTCGATATTTCTATATATATATATATATATATATATCGATATCTCGATATCGTGGGCGGGGCCAGGCGGGGATTGGATGTCTCGATATCTCGATATCTCGATATCGGGGGCGGTGACTCGATATCTTGATAATATTTCGATATCTCGATATCGGGGAGGGGGGCGTTCGGGGCGGGGCTCGATGTACGGAGCCTCGCCCCCCCCCCCCCCCCTCCCAGGACCAGAATTCCCTTATGCACGGCCTGCGGGCCCGCATGGGCCCCCTCGAGCGGGGCCGGTCCGCGGCGCAGGGCTCGCACAAGGGCAGGTGAAAGTCCAGATTGCGAGGATGACGATGACGACGTTGCCGATGATGATGCTAATGATGGTGGTGATGATGAAAGTCATGGTGGTGATCGTTTTGGATACGCGGAACACGCCGTGGATGATGATGATGGTTATGATGATGTTGCTGATGATGACGGTGGTCAGGAAGACAGTAATGATGATGATGCTGACGATGATGATGATGCTGATGATGATAATTATGATAATGACGTTGATGACGATGATGTTGCCGAAGCTGATTATGACGATGATGACGATAATGATGATGCTGTTGATGGTGATGATGTTGGTGATGATGGTGGTGATGATGATGTTGATGATGATGGCGTTGGCGACGACGACGATGATGATAGTAGTGGTGAAGGTAATGATGATGATGATGACGATGGTAACGATACTGATTATGATGATGAAGGTGATGATGATGACTACGATGCTGCTGCTGCTGGTGATGATGCTGCTGATGATGATTATGCTGCTGACAATGATGGTGCTGATGATGCTGAGGGTGATGATGATGAGGCTGCTGATGATGATGATCAGGATGACGATGCAGATGATGATGCTGCTTCTTATGATACTGATGCTGATGCTAACAGTAATGATGATGATGATGATGATGATGATGATGATGATGATGATGATGATGATGATGATGATGATGATGTTGGTGCTGATGGTGCTGATGGTGCTGATGGTGCTGATGATGATGATGCTGCTGATGCTGCTGATGCTGATGATGACGGTGATGATGAGGATACGAAGAAGGATCAGGAGGAGGAGGAGGAGGAGGAGGAGGAGGAGGGGAGGAAACGGGGGATGAGGAGGAGCAGGAGGAGAAAGAGGTTGCGGTGAGGAGGGGTAAGCAGGACAAGGGGGAGGAGGAGAAGGAGGAGGAGGAAAAGGAGGAGAAGGAGGAGGAGCATGTTTGGGGAGACGCAGGAGGAGAAGGGGGATGCGGAGAAGGAAGTGGAGGCGGAGGACGAGAATGCTGATGGTGATGCGGATGCTGCTGATGATGATGATGATGATGATGATGATGAGTACAATAACTGTACGGATTATAATGGAAAGGATGGGGATTGTGATGATGATTATGCTGTTGATGATAATGATGCTAATGATGATTGGGATGATGATGATTATGATGAAGATTACGATGATGAGGAAGACGATGACGATGCCGATGATACTACATGGTTGTGATGATTCTGGTGACGATGATCATGATGATGCTGCTGATGATGATGATGTGGATGAGTATGATGATAATGATGCTGCTGCTGATGATGCTGCTGATGATGATGATGGTGGTGATGATGGTGATGATGACGACGACGATTCTGTTGTTTATGATGGTGACGGGATGCGGGCATACCCCACAGGCGGAAACCGGCGGCAACGTGCGGCAACGTGACGCCCAAACAGCTAAACGACGCATTAGTCCCGAAGTGCAAGCGCTGCTTGGGGAATGCATATATCGAGCTGCCTGCGGCAAGTCCCGCCACCGTGCCAGTCCGGCATTTTGGGTGGCGATGGTTCGAGGTGCACCGGAGGCCGTTACGCGTGACACCTCGTATCTGCAGCTTTGGAAGAGCTGTAATGATGATGATTGTGATGATGATGATGATGATGATGATGATGATGATGATGATGATGATGATGATGATGATGATGATGATGATGATGATGATGATGATAATGCTGATGCTGTTGCTGATGCTGATGATGATGCTGATGCTGATGCTGATGCTGATGCTGATGACAACGATGATGATGGTGATGATAATAATAATGATGACGAAGACGATGCCGATGATGACGATGATGATGATGGTGATGGTGATAATGATGGTGATGATGATGATGATGATGATGATGATGATGATGATGATGATGATGATGATGATGATGATGATGATGATGATGATGGTGGCGAGGACGAGGAGGACGACGATAAAGATCATGAGGATAATCAGTCCCGATGTACATGAAGTCTGGAGACATCCATTGCCGGCGGAAGCACAAGAAAGCAAGGGTCCGAAAATTGGTCCCAAACGGCCCCCCTTGGCCTTGGCCTCCTGTGAGGCAGCCTTGGGGATCCCCTGGCTCCCCTAGTGGGCCGTGGTGATGCCCTCTTGCGCCGTCTTGGGGCTCTCTGGGGTTGTGCCGGGGCCCTCCCGGCCGTACGGTGGGTGTCTGGCGCCCTCGTGCAGCCGTCGGGGGCTTCCTGGGCCGTGGGGTCCGACTGCAGAACGTCGGCGGCGAGCGAGGGGCCTTCTCAGAAGGCGGCGGGACTTCTCAGATGCCCTCGCGCCTCCTGAGAGGTTTTTTGCGTCTTCGGGGCAGGTTCAGAAACTTTTCACACGGCTGGGCAGCTTCCGAGCCTTCTGAGAAGGCCCGCCCCCTCTCACTTCCCCCCCGGGCGCGCCGCCGAGAGAAGGTGCGAAAGCTTCACTGCAAGGAGAGCCGGTCCCCTGGGCAAGCCATGGGGCCCGCATGCGACGCACGTAGCAGGCCTCAGGCCGTGAGGCAGGGCCCGAACTGCGCATTGTGCTGGCCTGGCGGCGCGCGCCTGGGGGGCAGAGGAGCAGCAGCGCCAGGGGCAGCGTGAGCCTGGGGATGAAGCCGCCAAGGGGCACGGGCGCCAGTCAGTGCTCGGACAGGTCACTTGGACCACACAATACTGGTTCTGTTCTCCCGTTCGGCCGACGACTGTGCCGTGATGGCCGTTGATGGGGTTCTGCTCCTGGCTGGTAACTGCTACCTGGGTATCTTCGCATACGTATGGTGGTACGGATGTCGTCGTCAGACGTCGAGCGGTCGACAGTCAGACAAAAGATAAGGGGAGGGGGTTGATGATGAGAAGGCGATCAGAGAGAGGAGGAAGAGAAGGAAGGGGATGGATGGAGGGAGGGAGGGAGGGAGGGAGAGAGGGAGGAGGAGGAGGAGGAGGAGGAGAGGAGGAGGAGGAGGAGGAGGAGAGGAGGGAGGAGGAGGAGGAAGAGGAGGAGGAGGAGGAGGAGGAGGAGGAGAGGAGGAGGAGGGAGGGAGGGAGGGAGGGAGGGAGGGAGGGAGGGAGGGAGGGAGGAGGAGGAGAAAGAGGAGGAGGAGGAGGGAGAGGAGGAGGCAGGAGGAGGAGGAGGAAGAGGAGGAGAGAGGAGAGGAGGGAGGAGGAGGAGGAGGAGGAGGGAGAGAGGGAGGCAGGAGGAGGAGGAGGAGGAGGAGGAGGAGGTGGAGGCGGAGGAGGAGGAGGAGGCGGAGGAGGAAGAGGAAGAGGGAGGGAGGCGGAAAGGGAGGAGGACGAGGAGGAGGAGGAGGAGGAGGAGGCGAAGTTGGAGGAGGAGCAGGACGAGGAGGAGGAGGAGGAGCAGGATGAGGAGGAGGAGGAGGAGGATGGAGGAGGACGAGAAAAGGGATGAGGAGGAAGACGAGGAGTGAGAAGCGGAAGGAGGAGGAGCAGCAGCAGCAGGCGCACGACGGCGACGACGCCAGCGGGGGCCTGGGCAGGCGCAGCCTCCGAGGGCCGCCAGCGCCAGCCCGTCCTCCTCGTCTTCGTCGTCCGACGCCAGCGACGGCCCGCCCGCTGACGTCACGGCGCCCGCCGTGGCGGTCAAGGCACCGGTCGCCGCCGCCGCCGGCCATCGCCGCCGCCGGCCATCGCCGCCGCCGCCGTCGCCGCCGCCGTCGCCGTGGAGATCCAGGCGCCAGTCGTCGCCGTCGCCGTCGTCATGGTCGCCGTCGTCGTCGCCACCGTGGTTCCTCGTCGTCAGCGTCGCCGTCGTCTCTGTGGCCGTCGTCGTCGTCATCGCCGTCGTCGTCGTCGCCCTCCTAAGGGGGGAGGGCGGGCGAGGGGTGGGGCGGGCGAGGGAGAAGGGTAAGGAGGAGGGGAGATGCAGCAAGAGGAGGAGGGGCAAACCGGAGGACGGGGGCAGTATCAGGAGGATGCGTAAGCAGGGGGAGAAGTAGGCGGAGAGTGAGGAGGAGGAGGAGGCGGTCCAGGAGAACGAGGAGCACGATGAGGCCCATCCCGCCACCGTGCCTGGATTGTGGGTCAGAGTCCTCAGGGATGCTTCTTGGGGTCTCTTCGGAGCGCTCTCGGGGGCCTTTGGGGGACAGTTTGGGGCATCTTGGGGACAGCTTGGGGGCCTCTTGGGGGCCCACTGGGGCCTTCTGGGGGCCTCTTGGGGGCGCCGCTTCGTTTTGTGATTGACGAGTTCTGGAATATCTAACTGTGCTCTAAGGCGTCCCTGGAAGATGCCACATAACATCTACGAGCGCCCCAAGAGGATCATGTATGCATGTATGCATGCATGTATGTATGTACGCATGTCCGTATGCATGTGTGTATGTATATGTGAACGCATGCATGTATATATATATATATATATATATATATATGTATAATTGTATGTCTATGTGTATGTATGTATGTATGTGTATGTGTGTATGTCTGTTAGTATACATACACATATATATAGTATGCCTGCATGCATACATGCATCTAAGTGTGGATCTATGTAATTTGCAAGTATGTATGTATGTCTGTCTGTCTGTCTGTATGTATGTATGTATGTATGTATGTATATGTGAACGTATGCAATGTATATGTAAACGCATACGCATGTGTAAATGCGTAGGTAGTTTTATCGATCGGTACGAGTATGTGTACATTATAGGTGTATGTGTACGTATATGTATAGATGTGGGTAGGCATACATGGATGCGTGTACATGTATACATATGGTTATGCATACATGCATGCGCATGTCTGTGTATATGTGATTGTACATGTGTAGTGTATGCATGTGTAAAACTATGTGCATACGACTATGTACATGTATACGTGCATGCATGCTTGATTGCAGGTATGTGCGTAGATACCGACGTGCATATATATATATATATATATATATATATATATATGTACGCATGTACGGACGTAATGTGGGTACATGTGCATGCATGTATGTATGTATGTATGAATGAATGAATGTATGGTATGCATGTGTAGATCTGCGCGTGTATATACATGTGTGTGTGCATATGCAAGTACCCTCCTTCTACTTGTGCCACACCGCCGCCGCCTCCTCCGCGGACCACTGTGCCGCCAGGGGTTTCGGGGCCGGGCTGGCCTCGGTGCGAGACGATGTTCTTTCGTCCACGAGCCCGCGCAAAAAAAAAAAAAAAAAAAAAAAGTCTGCGCAGCGGGGCCAGTTCGCGACCGCCACCAGCCCTTGCCTTGTCTTGACGTGCCTGGCTTCCTCCGCCTCCGTTTCGTGGGCCGCTTCTTCTTAATGGATGGAGTCACGGGTCGGAGCTCATGAGGACTCCGTAAGCAAGCGTTGAAAGGGAGGGAGGGGGAGTCAGGCAGTTAATCCGTTTTCCACGGTGCGTCGTGATCATCATCGCTATAATCATCACCGGCATCGCCATCGTCATCATGACCATCACCATCGTCCTACCACCGCCACCAGCATCACCATTATCGTGGCCACCAGCATCCTCATGATCAGCACCGTCATGGTATCACCGCCACCAATAATCATCCTCATCATATATAGTTATCATCATCACGATCAAAATTTTCGCCGTCGTCAGCTTCATCGCCAGAATCATCATCATCCTCATCATCATCCGTAGCCATTCTTGCTCAAGTGAAAACCCTGTGAAGCTAAAGTAACATAGCGAATCAGGGATTCGCTTGGCCTGTCCGTTGCCTGGCTCAGGCTGGCTTGGCTTGCGCGCTGCCTGCCTGGCCCCTCCTCGGACAGATCGATCCTCGCCGCGATGCCAGCGACTGACGTGGCCACTCATGTGAGGAGTCTGACTACTCAGGTGGAGATGTTAGTCAAAGGAATGCTCGAGCTCAAAGATGGCCAGAAGGCGCAGGCGAAGGCTCTTGAGGGCCACGCGACTCTCCTTGCCCAGCTCAGTGCGCAATTCTCGGAGTTGGGTCTTCTCATGAAGCCCGTTCAGCTGGAGATTGCAGCAGTGCAGAAGAAATGGGAGGAGAATGGCCGTCTCTTGGCTGAGCTCCGTCGTGATGCAGGCAGTGGTAGAAGTTTGAACAGTGATGAGTATGAGGGCCCTGCTCCAGATCGGAAGAAAGCTCGTTCTGTGGGTGGTGCTTCGATGTCGTCTAGGACTTCCAAGATTTCCTCGGAGGTGAACCAGTTCAAAGCAATCTTGGTCGGCTTCAAGAATGAGTTTAGTAAGAAGACTCTTGAGTAGGCAGGTAGTGCGATTCTCTCCTCTTTTGCGGCAGTTGAAGTCCAGCAGCAGATGAAGGTCACTCCTCAGAGTTTCGCGAAGAAGGTGATTATTGCATTTTTCCTTCGGTGTCGGACGTCCAGGAAACGCTCATATGCTTTCGGAAAACACTTCCCCGACGGCTTCGATTTCGACACCCCTCGCGGTCAGGTCTTGCTCCGTCTGAAGCCGCTCAGAGATCAGGCCACCAATATGCAGTTCAGTGTTACCGGTAGGATCAGGAAGCTTCTCGAACCATTCATCGACCTCGAGTGGGACCTCCGTTCCAGTCCGCAGAACGGTATATATGTATGTATGTACATATACATGTATATGTATTGAAAACGAGAAGACAGGGGCGACCCACAAACTCTTCCAGGTCAAGAAGCCAGGTGTTGATACCTCGAAGCCGAAAGTCACCTCGTTGCCGCGCTCGTTCAAGGCCCTGAAGATCGAGGAATCGAAACCGCGGGAGATTGTGGATAAGGCATTTGAAGAGTTGCGTCTTTAGTGACGCGGTAGCAGCAGACTCGCCAACAGCAATGCCTGAGCGAGAGAGAGTTCCATCACTCTCGAGATCGCCTCTCTCTTATTTTTTGTTCTCTCTATCTCTCTCTCTTTCTCTTTTGTTTATTTCTCTCTCTCTCTCTCTCTCTTGAGTGCAGGAGATTATGTAGAGGCACGGCGCAGACTGAGGGAGATCAGTCAGAATTCATTCCTTCCGTTCTTGCCTGCAAAATCGGCGTCTGCGGTGACGTGGAACTCCAGGGGGTTATTCGGCAGCGTCTCCAGCATGCGGCATCGGTCTTGTAAGCGTTGGAAGCTTTTCTCTGGTCTTATTAAGCGTTGCCAGATCGCGTGCATCCAGGGATCTCACGGCCATGAGGGGGGCCTTGTCTGTCTGCAGAAGGAATTCCCCAAGCGTCGTTTCTTCTTCGGCCCGCGCCCGCTGAGCACTCCTGGTCATGGGGTCCTGTTGTGCATTCAGAAGCGCGTTGCTGGGTGTAATCGTTGCCCACCGTGAAGTTGCAGTTCCTGGGGCGATATCATATGTCCTAGGCTGGGGCTCCTCTGGGATCCTTGGGATTGCGGTGGTCCACTTGCCGAACGTTGATGCCGGCATCGGTCTCTATCGTCATCGGCTGATCCGTCTGCAGTCGACGCCCCTCTCTGCCTCTCTTGCCGCGAATCTTATCCTCGGGGACTTCAATTTTGCATTCAGCGGTGAGGGTCGCTTCCACGTTCAGTCGGGCACCTTCGCTCTTGGGGGCGCGGTCCATACTAGGGAGTGGAATCAGCGCTTTGGATCGCTCACGGAACTGCGCCAGCCTCTCGATACTCGTCGGGCTTACCAGGGGGCGCAGATCGGGGGCCGCTCGGTCGGATCGGGTCTACATCAGTACGCGCCTGTCTGTCTTGAGTGATTTCGCGATCGCTGGTCCTACTATCGGTGTGCCTACCACCTCTACGAATCCTTCGGACCACGTGCCTGTCGTTGCCACGGTTGCTCCTAAGCCTCGACCTGGCCCTGGACCGCCCCCAATCCCTGCTTGGGCCCCTCGAACACCCGAGTGCCGGTCTATCCGGGCGGAAAGGCTTGCAGAGGTTGACGTCAACCTAGGGCCCGAGGATCAGTTGGAAGTTACCAAGGTGACGCATGGGTCTCGCTCCGAGTTTCGGAAAGTCTTGCGATGCAGAGAGGCCGCTACGACCCACGAATTTGTTCACTGGATTGCTTCGGCGCTGCGTGCGTTTCGAGCTGGTCCTTCATCTCACTATCTTCTTGTCCGTGCTGTGCGCGCTTACCCCGCTCTCTCTGACTTATTTGATGTTGACGCGTGCGCTTTGTTGGGCGACGCGGGCCTCTTCGCGCGCGTTGCTTCTCTTAGCGGCTCTCTTGGATAATGAAGACATCGCGGTTGAGCAGGCCACTTCTATCCCCGAGCATGAGTTGCAGCGACGGCGTGCGCGTGTGCAGCTTAATCGAGAACGTTGGTGCCCACTGAACCCCACTGTCCGTCTTGGTAATAGTTCTGCATGAACACACGGGTGTTCCTTGTGCGTCGCTTGAGCACGCAGGGCATGAGCTTGCGCGTCATTGGGGTGGGGTGTTTGCTTCAGTTGAACCCGATCGCCCTCCCTGGGGCTCCCTGGAACTGGTCATTCAGAAGGCTTCGGATCTCTACCCTGACCTGGAGTGGGTTCTGGATCATGAAGCGCTTGCTGATCTGGTAAAAGCCAAGGGGGATTCAATGCTGGGCATCGATGGGGTGCCATATAGCTGTTGGAAGATTCCAGAAGCTCATGAGAAGCTTGACCTGTTCTATCGGCGCTGCATCGCTCATCCGGGTGAACCCCGCCCTGCCAACTTCCATCGGATGCTCATGGTCTTCCTGGCCAACGGGGATCACTCCACTGATGCGTCGGCGGTGCCCACTAGAAAGCCATCCAGTACTCGTCCGCTCCCCATGGGTTGCGCGGGCTGCAAATTGGCCACCTCTGCTATTGCTCGGCCTCTCTCGCTGCTGGGTCAGCGCTCTATCTTAGACAGTCAGACTGGCGGCGTCTCTGGTCGCTCGATATTGGATAACATCATCGAGCGCGAAGGAGATGGGGTCTGCGCACACCTTGAGGGGCAAGACAAAGCAGCACAGCTCTTCACTGATTTTCGCGCCGCTTTCCCGAGTTTGATGATCCAATGTTTGCTCTTTGTCCTTAGTAAGATGCGTGCTCCGATGTGGGCCGTGAAATTCTTTTCAAACCCATATGAGGATAACACCGCCCTGGTCCACTTCTGCGGCGCTGTGTTGGCCCAGTTCTCGGTTGGGCGCGGCGTTCGCCAGGGGTGCCCCGCAGCAATGCTCCGGTTTGCCCTCTCCCTTGACCCAGTGCGTCGTTGGCTGAATGCCGCAAGTCCCTTTGGTTTCAGGCTTTCAGGATATGCCGGCGACTTGAGGTTCTGGCTGGCCAATATTTTTACCGATTTGTCTCCGCTCTTTGATGAGCTCTGTCTTCGAGCTGGGGCTATCGGGCTTGAGTTGCACTTTGGGAAATGCATTATCCTAGTGGTCTGCCCGCAGCACGTTCAGAATTTCTCTCAGCTGCTTCTATCTCTGGGGCGGGGCTGCGAGCGTTTCTCTGTGGTCGCGTGGCGCAGGCACCTTGGGATTAGTGTGGGCCCCGATGCTCACCTCCACTCGTTTCCCACGCAGCTGGGTAAATTCTTCCGCCGGGTCTGCAAAATCCGTCTGGTGGGTGCTGGGCTAGCTGAGTCTATTGTCGCCTGCAACGTTCGGGCTGTTTCAGTGCTGGGCTACGCTTTGCAGTTTCATAGGCCGACCCCCCAACTGCTGCAGACGGAAGAACGGGCTCTTCAGATCCTTCATGCTGGACCGAGGTATAGTGTCACTGTACGAATGATGAAGTCTCTCAGGCATGCAGGGCGCAACGCTCAATGTATGGCTCTATCCCACCCATCCCAAGCTGCAGCGTTCAGAGCAGCACAGGACTCAGAGGCATGGAGTCGGTACCAGAGGCGTCTAGACGCGATTGTGCATAACTCCAAGGACTTGCATCCGTTTCGGCAATCTCGCGGTTGGTTTGCTAACACACTCCTGTCGTTTATGGCCGAGAACTATGCCAAGCATCTCCCTCGGGCTCGAGCGATTGATTCAACGGCGCCTTACTTGGTCTCCCAAGCGTAATTGGCGTCGTCTCGCCGCGCAGACGTTGGCCCCGATCCTCTTCGAGACGGCATCGAGCGACGCGTTCTGAAGTGGATGCCCCTCCCCTCGCCTGCCTCTGGGTGGTTCCCCCCTCTTGCTAGACGTATGCGCACTGTCTGTAATTCAGTATCTATGTTTTTAGTGGTCGCCGTCCTGCGGGTTCTCTATCGGGGACTTTGGACGTCGGCCCGTTTTCATGCCCAACCACAACCCTGTGCTTTCGGTTGCCTGGGGGCCGCGGATGACCAGTGCCGCTACCTGCGCTGCCCGAAAGTCCTGGAGCTCTTTTCGTCTTGGGCCGCCCCCCTCTCCCCGCTCGACGTCGCCGACCCGTTCCCAGTTCTCTGCTGCGTAGACGGACGAGCTCCCGACAAGCCCAGAGACTTGATACTGCGCGCGTTGCTTGAGTGTCTCGTCCACGCCCACTCACAACTGAGAGCCGCTGCCGTGCCTAGGGGGGCCTCACCTGCGTTGATCTTTGAGGGCCGTTTGCGGCTCCTGATGCAACGGCGCCCTCCCATTCGCGCGATTGCAAGAGCCATCGAAGGTTAGGTCAGTCGGCTGTTCCGTATGCGCGAGGTTCTCGATGATGGTCGGGGCTCTTTGTGCAGAGATGATTGTCTCTCAGGGACGCTTTGTGGGCCTTGTTTGTTCTCTCTCCTTCCTCGCTGCCGTCCCCCCTGTCCTTCTGCTGCCGCTGGCTGCCGCCGTCGCGCGTGCCGCCGCCGTCTGCCCTCTCGCCTCTCTTGCCCCTCTCGGCCCGTGCACTGGCTGATGGCTTGTGAGTTTGAGCGTTTTAATGTTCGTTTCGGCCGTTTCGCGCCTCCTGGAGTGTATGGTCCGAAATTTTGTCCTGGACCGCCCGCCTCTTTCGCCTCTCTTGCCTCTCTCGCCTCTTTTGCTTCCCTTGCATGTCGCGCCCTGGTGGAGAGGCCCCCCGCTGCCCGCCCCTCTGCCGCGCCCTCTCGGGGCAGGGTTCCAGCGGACTCCGTGAGCCCGCCAGAAGGGTTAACCCAGCTACCGGCGCCAGGCACGGGCGCGCCCGCCCTCGTCTTCTGTGCACCCGCGCGCGCGAGGTTCTCGATGATGGTCGGGGCTCCGTGTGCCGCCCCGCTTGCTGCTCTCCTGGCCGCCCACCTGTCTCTCGGGTGGCTAGCCTAGCAGCTGCGATCGATCGATCGCCTCCTTTTTCCTCTTTGCTCCCCCTCCCTACTGCCTGCCTGCTTGCTGGCTTTGGCTGGCTTCGGGTTGCATGTCTTCCTTGGCGCCCAACCTGCGATTGCAGGAGTTGGTTCGGTTTCGTTTGCGCCCGTAGTCTTGCGCTGGTTTCGCCCGCCGTTGCGCCCGTCGGTCCATCCACTTGCAGTTTGGCCGTTGTTCTTGTAATCAGCATTGCGTTTGCGGTTTCACCGAGCCTGGAGGGGGAACAAAAACAAAAAAACATCATCATCCTCATCATCATCATCGGCATCATCATCGTCACTGCCACCACCATCATCATCGTCAACACCATCATCATCATCATCGTTATCATCACCATCACCAGCAGCATCATCAGCATCATCGTTACCACCACCACCATCATCATCGTTATCATAATCATCATCACCGTCGTCCTCACCCTCATCATCAACATCTTTCGTATCAGCATCAGCATCATCAGCATCACCATCATCAACAACAGCATAATCCCCTTTTCGAGGCCACCGCCCCGGTGGTGCCAAAGCTGAACTTGGGCGGCGGGCTGGATGGCGGCGGCGAGGGGGTCAGCCGCGCCAAAGGCGCGGGCCTTTGCGCCCGGTCGACCACGCGATCGACCACTGCTCTTCGCGGTGATCGCCGACCACGCCCTGCTGGCCTCCCACACATCCGGCGCCTCGAGCAAGAATCTCGGGCGCGGCCGCCGCGTGGAGCTGCTGGTGAGCGGGCAGCCGGGCCCGAGGCACCACGAGGTGCTGCTGGAGCTGCTGTGGCGCTCTGCGCCCAATGTCGAACGTCAGTTCCGACGTTCGAGGTCGACGGTGTTTCAGCCTCGGGAGGCTCTTTGCGCCTCGCCAGGAGCGTTCCAGGGATGCCCGGGTTGTCCCGAACGGCCGCCAGAGACCCGAGTTATAATCCGAAGGTTGGACGATTCGGAGGTTGATAGGCCTCCCACCCTGACACGTCGATTAGCGAATTGGCCGTTTTCGGTTCGCGAGAGGGCGTCGCGGCCGTCATTTTGCGGGTCCAGGTCCGTCGGTTTCGGTCCCAGGCCGATTTTACTACAGGGTGGTTTACTAAAGGGAGGTTTGGCCACCGCCGAACGTTGAGGAAATGGCTTGTCGACGCTTTCTGGTTTCTGGAGGCAAATTTATGGCCCTGCCGGGGGCGCCAGCGAAAACGCGATTCGGTACGGAACGCTGTCCCAGGGGAGTGGTCGAGAGGTTCAGGGGCTCAATCCAAATCGAAGCGCCGGATGTCTGGGATTGCTCCTCTTGTCTCTGCTTCCGCACGCCCTTCTGTACGCGGATCCCATCCCTGCCTTGCCCCTGGACGACCTTGGGTTTGCGGATCGCCGTGATCGCCAGTCGCGGCCGTCTTGACCTGCGTCGCCCGCCTCTGTCTCCTCGAGCTCTTCGGCTCGCGGGTTGAGCGGCCTCGGATCGGCGATCGCAGCGTCTGAGCTATTTTGCTTACTTCTTCTCCTCATCCTCCTCCTCCTCCTCCTCCTCCTCCTCCTCCTCCTTCGCCACCTCTACGGCTGCGAGGGACGGAAGTTAAAAATCAAGTCGGCGAGGCATGAACTTGGACCATAGTGCGAAATCCACGAAGTAGTGCATTCTTGCAAGTCCCAGCGGGGCCAACGGGACGAATGGTTCCGCGCTAAAAAACACTCTGGATAGCATACTGGATTCTGGAGCACCGATGTGGCGACATGATCAACGAAGTAGCGATCGCAGCGATCGCAGGTCGCGACCAGGTTGCCCAGCCCGTCTCTAACTCCACGCGCCCTCTTTGTAGCCGCGCCGCGTCGCCCGGCGGCCGCTTCATGACGCACCGCGTGCGAGCGAGCCCCCGAGAGAGCTTGCCGCGTGGCCCGCGTTCGCGGCCGCACACCCGCGATCGTCTCGAAGGGCGCGGCGATCGGCTTGGCCTGGCTTCCGCTCCTGCACGTCCTGCACCTCCTTCGCCCTCCTCCTCCTCCTCCTCCTCCTCCTCTTCTTCCTCCTCCCTCCTCCTGTTCCTTCTCCTCATCCTCTTTCTCCTCCTCCTCCTCCTCCTCCTCCTCCTCCTCCTCCTCCTCCTCCTCCTCCTCCTCCCCTCCCCCTCCCCCCTCCTCATCCTCCTCCTCCTCCTCCTCCTCTCCTTCTCCTCCTCCTCCTCCTCCTCCTCCTCCTCCTCCTCCTCCTCCTTGAGGGTGCCATAGGTTCTCCCCCTCGCGCCGTGAGCAGCAGGGCTCCAAGAGAGCCCCCTGCGGCGCCCAACCCCGCAGTCTGTTCCTGGCAAGGGTCGGGGGGGGGCGCCCCAGGGAGGCCCTGGCGGGAGCAAGGCCCGCGTCCATATCCCCGCAGGCGCGCTTCAACCGTTCCCAGGCGCTGCCGTGGCTAGTCCTTCTGCTTCGCCCCCAACGCGCTTGGCCTGAGCCTCCCCCGGGTGGTCCTGCTGGCCGTCCTCCCCCTTCCCAACGTCGTCGACGCCCGAGCGGACGAGATTGTCGCTCTGGCTGCGGCGCTGGGCGCAGTGCTCGTCTGAAAGTGGTGCTCCCGCGTCAGCGCGGCGCACATGTCGCCGCGCCGTTCTGCGCCGACGCGCCCAGGTACGTAGACGAAGCCGACACCACGACAAACCCACGGCAAGCCCACGGCAAGCCCTGCGCCCGAGGTGGCGTTTGCCCTGGTGGCCGAGGCGCCCTCCCCAAGACGGAAGGCCGCGCGTCGGAACAGACGGCGCGGCGACAAATATTTCTCACTCGCCA